GCTGAACCGGGGAAGGAGACACCCCTCTCGGCCCCCAGCCGGGCACTGCGGGATGGTGTGTGCCGGGGGGGACACTCGTGGGTCTGCCTGAGGGGGTCGTGGGGATAAGGGGTGATGAGGCACTGGTGGCATCTCTGCCCACTGCGATGGATCTGCAGAGGATGGTGCCATACTGGGAGGGTCCATCCCCTTCCCCAGCCCAACGAGGGTGGCAGGGCTGGTTCCACCCCATCCCCTCTGGGAAATGTTCCTTCCAGCCACAGCTGAGGACCACCGTGCTCAGCACACCCAACAGCACCCATTCCCTGGGTGGGCATCACCCTCCCCGACACACACACAGAGCGCTCAGGTTGGGCAGTATTCTCGGGGGGACACCAAGAGCACCCACCAGCTCAGCACCCTCTGGTGAGAAGCACCCAGCTTTATTTTCCCAAGCCAAGGCAGGTGAGCAGGGGGCTGGCTCATGGGACACCCCCCACCCCTCCTAGATGAAGCGTTTGTTCTCCTCCCGGTAGTCGTAGGGGTCTCCGGCGAAGGGCAGCGGCGGTGGGTGGTTGTAGATGCCCATGAGGAAGATCCAGAGGGTGCCCACCACCAGCATGGGGGTGATGAGGAAGAGGCAGAGGCGGTCCAGGGTCCGGGCCACGTGGTTCCAGTTGTCCTTCTCCTGGGGAGGGAACCAGGAGCCAGGCAGTGGGGGATACAGTGGGCACAAGGAGCCCCCTCTGCCCTCCCTGTGCCCATGGCCCCCACCTCATTGTAGCTGTTTTTCTCCCTTATGTGCTTGACGATGAAGTTGGCGCTGTCAACGATGGGTTTTAAGTGCTCGTAGAGCTGCTCCTCACCCGTGTCCATGCCCGGCGGTGCCAAACCTGGGGGCGAAAGGTGTGGTTAGATGGACTCCAAAGGACTGCCACCCTTGGAGACCCCCCCATTCCGCCACCCTTCCCCGTGTCCCCACAGAGGGATCGCGGCTCACGGGCAGGGGTGACGCGGCTGGCCAGCCCGTGCCGCTCCGACTGCTTCTCGAACATGAGCTCGCTGCGGGACTTGACGCTGAAGTACTCCTCTGCCTTGGCGATGTAGCCGGCCGAGCTAGAGCGCCGGATGGACGGGGCTCCCGCCGGGCTCTCGGCCGGCTGAGACATCCCCAGCAGGCGGGGCAGGCTCTCCAGGAAGACCTGGGGCACAGGAGGGGGTGTCAGGTCATTTGGCCACCTCCCCTGTGCAATGCCACCTTGTTCCCACCTTCTGCTCCCAACCTGGGTGTGCAACTCCTTGGAGCGGCACAGATGGGATACTTCGATGCAATGCTGGGGCTGTGCTGTCCCATGCCCTCCATGGGGCACGGTGCCACCTCTGTACCCACCAGTTCACCCACCCCAGCCCGGCATTCTGCTCACCTCTTTGACCCAGTCAGACATAATGTGGGTGCTGGGGGTGCGGAAATGGAAGTTGAGGACCACGACGCAGATCACAACCACGGCTGTCACCAGCAGCATGATGAAAAGCAGGTACCTGTTGGGGGGGCACGGACCTGGGGCTGGCATTGCCACACTGGGCTGGGCACAGGTAGAACTGCCCTCTGGCACCGCGGGGACCCTGCGATGTCCCCGCTGCACCCAACGCTGCCCAAGACTCACTTGCCGATGAGGGGGATAGCATGGGATGTTGCGGGCAGGCGCTGGGAGATGAGCAGAAGGAAGACAGACTGGGCCAGGAGCACTGAGATCACCAGGGTCATCTTCTCACCACCTGGAGAGCAGATGAGCTCTGGGCAAGCCCTGCTCCAGGTCCCCCTCCCAGTGCCCCCAGTGCTGGGATTGCCTCCCACATAGGGTATCTTGTGCCCAAGTGTGCCTCTGCCTGACTGGGATGACGGTGCCCTATGTGGGGGTGTTCCAGTACCAGGGCGTCCCCGTGCTGAGCATTGGGGTGTCCCCATGTCAGAGGACCTGGTGCAGGTGTGGGATGTGGGGGTGACCCTTGTGCCTGGCGTGGGTGCCACGGGGCTCACTCACTGTCGGCAGGCAGGTAGAAGACAAGGATGGCCATGAAGGCGATGAGGATGCAGGGCGTGACAATGTTGATGACATAGAAGAGTGGCTTGCGCTTGATGATGAGGTAGAAGGTGATGTCCTGGTGCTCACTGCTCTCGGGGGGGTTCTCAGGGTGGATGTTCTTGCGGGCCGGGCGATGGATGATTTCCCATTCCCCATTCTCTGCCAGGGCACATGGGACAGCACATGGCATGGG